ATTCAAGCTAAAAATTGAATCTTTTTTTGATCATTCAAGCTAAAAATTGAATCTTTTACAATGTAAATAGCTAAAATTATTCAAAAAAAGAATGAATTGGATCAAATTAGATCTACCTCTCCAGCTTTTTTAGCAGCTTCAACTGCAACATCAAGAAACTCTTCAACTGAACCTGAAAAATTCAAACAATCACATTATAAAATTCAAACAATTATAATGCAAATTCTTAATAATAGGATTAATAATTATATAGGTAAAACATTCTAAGCGGAGATAAGGGCTCTACCATTTTGCGCCATCTTAAAAATAAATATATTTTAATTGAGTGATAAGAAGAAAAAGGGATAATTTGATGTGAATATATATAGGAGTAATATATTTACCTCACGTAGCACATGAAAGCATATTATTATTATATATATACCACAATTATCTATAGACAAAATTTGTTGGACCTAAAATACTTAATAATTCAAAATCAAATCAATCTCGAATTCGATATTTATTTAATTCATGTTTAAATAAAATGCTATAATTTGAAGTGTTTATTAGTTCCTTTTGGTATGCTGGAACTATTAAATTATCGACTAGCACCCTAAATTACAAGAATAATTAAATGTTTTGATTTTCATACTTTAATTTTTTTTATTCATTAAAAGAATCTCAGAAAATACAAGTGAAGGGCAGTTTGGTAAAAGCAATAACAGACGTGGAATATGCCTATACAACGTGAGAGTATATGCTTATTTTTTTTATTTTTGCTTTTGGTTTAAAGTAGCTTAGTGCTTGTGCACTTTTTTTTTTTTTTGGTTTGGGTAATAGACGATTTTTTTATATATTTATATAATATTCATCAAATATATTAAACGTGGCTACATTACTGTCAGCATTAGATATTAAAATATTACATATGGGTACATAGTGCATAACAAAAATGGTTTCTTCTGCTTCTAAAACCTCTGAGTTCCGAAGCAAAACAAAGGAGGAACTTCTACTTATTAATATAAAAAAATAAATATTAGAACGATAATGAAAAATAATGCTTCGATCAATGTATTAAATTAATAGCAGAAATTGTTTTTTTCTAAAAGAGGGAATACATAGGTTTTTCTATAAATAATTTTGAATGTTTGCCAAATATAAATTATTGTTCTAATGTTACTTAACAGTAAGTGAAGCAATTCCATGATGAGAGCAAATATCACCACTTTGAGGCAATGATACAAATGGTCCACTGGACGTACGAATCAATGGAATAACTTTAGTATAAACAATACTTTTCAAGATTCCTTCAAACCATAATCTTTCGTAAACTACTACTTCATCATCAGTATATAAAAAGTAGAATAAATACAAAGATGCTTCTTATAAAGTAAGGATTGGAAATCAGTGTTTCCCAAAATTTTGAAACACCTTTGAATCTTCAATCGAAGAAGAGAAGAGACCGTACAGGTAACCTGTTGAGGATGTCCATAAGTATTTCGTCTCGAAAGTGAGTTGACAGAGGACTTAAATGGAGAAACAATTGAGACACACTTTATATTCAGCAATGTGAATGTGAAAGACCAGAAACGGGACTGACAAAAGATTCAATCAAATTATTGTTCAGTAGAGAAAACACCATTTTTTGTATTAAACATACATCAGAGCTCAACAACTCAAAAAAAATGACACACTGTTGCGCGTTCCTCGACTGCGATTTATTTGTTTTCCTTCGGTTCAAGGGCTGCAATTTCTTTGACAACTTGCGCTTTGTCAGCCTCAAACTGCTCATCCTCTGCACACAACAAAAAGACGAATAAGGACAACGATTTCATCATGCTTTCACACGAAATGGGGTGTTCTTTTCATTTCGATTGTGTTTTCCTACCTTTTTCAGTCTTAAAATCGGCAAAGAGGCGAAGAAGTTTGCTTCTGTTTGCTACAAGGATGCTAACAATATCGGGAGGTTTGTTGTGATTTGCCGCAAATAGCTGTAAAGCTTTAAAAGGTTAGAGATAAAGCATTTGATAAATGGAGTAAATTTAATGAGCATATACATGAAACAATGTTGAAACAAGAAGGGTACCTTGAAGACATGAAATGCTTCTATCTGGATACTCTTGCTCGACTCCTGCCAAAGAGAAACTCAGCAATCAATATCGGATGATTAAAGCAATACTAATTAAGAACATTTGTAAACTACCAGTCGATGTTAGGCTTTTCATGTTAGTTGAAGTGACGGAAGAAAAAGCCTCTTCCCCATATTAACAGGTACAGAGCCAAGAAAATCAAGAGTCATAATCTGTTAATATACATATGTATGGGTCTGGCTTTGACCAATTTTTGTAGTAACTCATGTCGAAACGTCCAAATTTAACTCAATGCCGCATTATCCACTCATTTTTTCATGTACGACTCTAAATAAGAAACCATAGAAAGGGTATATTGAGAAGCATAGTAAAGCCCCTAGAGAATATAAAGCAAATGGAAGTAAACCAAAAGAACACAGACATGGAAAGACACATGAGGAAAGAAAAACCAAACAGTGATAGTGAGCAAGAAGGAAGTTGATCAATACCCTGAGCAGATTCATGAGAATCCTCAAGTTGTCTCTTGAGCTAACATAACGTGTCATCACAGCAGAATTTGAGCGGTCCAACAACATATCTGCCAAGAGCTGCAACAACAAAGCAGATAATTTTAGAGATTTAAAATGTTTTTAGAGTTTTTTATTCCTCCAACAACATTGGGAAAGTGCTAAATATGTACATTTAATAAGAGTCACTTTCTGCATATCATAGAATTCAAACATTGGAATATGAGGAAAACAATTAAAGTTTCTAAGCAATTTATATTTGCCACAACATGAGAAGGCCAAAAAAGACCAGCATCAATAGTTAAGCCTATGCAATGGTTCAGCTTTTCCTTCAAAGAATCTCATACCTTTCATTAATAATAACCCAAAATATACGTGCAGGAATGACATTCCATATGCTTCTACTATCTTTTTCACCCTCCCGTCTGACTAGCATAAGAGAGGGTTATTTACAAACATTGACATAACCCAGTTCAATCCAGATGGATTTAGAAATGAACTTCACAACATCACCACAAACAGTGCAGCAACAATTAATAAAAATAAAAAATTCCCTTCTTTGTGATTTTTTTGGTCATTCATAGCTTTATCTTTTTTTTTTTTTTTTTTTT